GGCAGAGGGAAGGGGAGCTAGATGGAGGGGGGAAAAGGTGGAAAATGGGCACATCTGCCATAATGTCAAAAATAAATAAATAAATTTAAAAAGAAAAATAAATAAATAAAAAGCAGGGATTGTCACATTAAATAAGGAAAAGCAGGGTCCAACTATCTGTTGGGTCTATAAGAAAAGATATTCGAAATATAAAGGTACAAAAGATTTAAAGTAAAAGGATGAGAAAAGATATACTATTCTGATACTAGTTTTTAAAAAGCTATAATGGCTGTATTAGTATCATAAAGGATGTCAGAGCAAGGAATAAAGAGGGTTATTTCATAATAAAAAAGAAATCAATTAATCAAGAGTATATAACAATCCTAAATGCTATATACCTAATAACAGCTCTTAAAAAAGAAATGATGTAAAATCCAATGGAACTGCAAGGAGGACTAGACAAAGCCACAATGAGATCTGAAGTTGAATACCCCATTGTCACTAATTGATAGAACAGAGAAATAGAAAACAAGTACGGATTTTGAAGACTTGGCAACATTATCAACATACTTGATCTAAATGACATTTAGGGATGCTTTATTCATCAAGTGCACAATACACAGAATATTTATCAAAGTAGACACTATTTGGGGCCATATAATAAGTCTTGAGTAATGTAAAATTTTCAAGTGATATAAGATATGTTATCAGATCACAATAGAATTAACTTTAACAGTCAGTAACAAAATTATATCTGGAAAATCCCCAACTACCTGGAAACTAAATAACTCGCTGCAAAAAAAACAAACACGTGATACAAAAAAACCCAAACAACACAAAACCAGAAGGGAATCAGACTAATTTTGAGCTGAATAAAAATGACATCAAATTTTGAGATGCAGATAAAACAGTGCTTAGAAGGTAATGTAAATAATTTTGGCAAAATAAAACATCCATCCCACTTAAAAACTTTCAGCAAATTCATACTATAAGGAAATTTTCAATATGATAAAGTACAATTATGTAAAATCTATACCTAACATCATACTTAATGCTGAAAAACGATATATTTTCCCTCTAAGATATGGATAAAGGTAAGGATGTCTACTGCAATTTCTTGGTGGTTGTAGCTAGTGCAATCAAGCAGAGAGAGAGAGAGAGAGAGAGAGAGAGAGAGAGAGAGAGAGAGAGAGAGGTATATTACCATTTGATATGAGCTCATCACCTTGTGTGAGAATATCTCTCCTTGATTCATGCCCAATAAATGTTCCTTTGTCTCTGCTTAAAGTGTGATGTGTGCGGTATGACACCTGGCCAGCCCCACTGCACAATCTGTTCTCTAGGGAAGGGGACAGAGTTCCCTCTATTGCCACACGAGAAGGGTGAAAGTAGGTGAATTACCTTGTGCTGGCCTGGTGCCTGCTATTGAAGCTGATCTTGCCCTGTATCTGATACAGGGGTATAATGGGCAGAAGTGTTTAGAGCAGTGATATTCAACCAGTGTGCAGAGAGCGGTACAATGGTGTGCCACAAGAATTTTTAAAATATGCAATGCCTGACTATTTAGTTTCCCTTAGGTTGTCAAATAAAATAAAAAAAATGACAACAACCAACACATCAATAGCCATCCGGTGTGAATGAATCAAAATTGTACCTAATTTTTTTGTCAGATTGGCAAACAATATATTTTTTGGTGTGCTTCAGAATTTTAGTAATTAGTTTGTGTGCCATGAGATGAAAACATTTTAAAATCACTGGTTTAGAATCTTCCCCTAGGATTGCACAGTACTCTGCTTGACAGCAACTACACACACACACACACACACACACACACACACACACGCTTTAAGAATGTTTACTGCAGCATGGTTTGTAGTGTGAAAAACTTAGTTACTAGTGGAGTTTTTTAAAGAAAGCAAAGCATACATGGTGTACAATACCACCCAGTAGTTAAAGAACATCAGGCGGATTTTCATGTTAAAGCTGAAACAGTGCCAACAAACATTAAGTGAAAAAAAAAAAAAAGTAGCAGGATAATATGTTTAGAATTACTTTATGCATGTTAACAATGAAACTGTGTGTGTTCATGCATGCATGTGTGTATATTCATTAGTGAAAAGAATATTCTTGGGGTTAACACCAAACTTTTAACCTTGGAAAATATGGGAAATGAAAGAGGAATTTCATTTTTAACACTGTATAGTTCTTCATTTGTTTGAATTTTTGTGCAAACAACAAGTACTATAGCACTTAGAACTCTCACAAATGACCTTCTTTCTTTGTTGTTTATTGCTTCTTTCTACACATCTGTATATATGTTTTGAGAAAGCAGAGAATTGGGAGGCCTTTCATTTTCTGTAGCTCCTGGGCCTAGAATAGGGCATGGCGTACAGCATGTGCTCCATAAATACTTCTTCCATAAATAAGCAGTGAAAAGGGGAGAAAATGCCTGGTTGGGTAAATTCTCTATTACCCACTTCAAATTCACCTGACGTCCTGCCCTACCAGCCAATTCTTTAACAAGAGCTTAGTGTCCTATCGCGTCAATGTGGATTTCAAATTGCATAACCACCTTATGGCCTCTCCTCTTTCCTTAGCCCTTTTCTATTCATAGAAGATCTAGCCTTCTCCATGAAGTCCTCACTTAATGTCATTAATCAGTTCTGCGACTTTGAGTGAAATGACATGTAGTGAAACCAGTTTTGCTCCAGGCTAGTTGATATAAACATGAGTTAAATTTGTACAGCATCTTATCAATGCTATAATGAAATATTGAACAAAACAATGTTATCAAGGCCCTGCTATACTTGATTGATACATTAAAGGAGGAATTCTGGAAGGTTGGCTCTTTCAGTTCATGTCTGCAACTCCCTCTCATTTCAATGTCTTTTCTAGATTGATACCAAAATGGGCTGGGGAAATTGGCAGCAGGCAGAGAGTATGCCAGAGCCCAGTTCTGCAGGGTTCTTCAGGGAAGCGAGCAATGAGGGCCCTCATTCTCCTAGGGGTGAGGGGAGAGGCAAGTACTAGTGGCTGAGGGAAGATGGTGCCTGTCTGCATCAAGTTGTTCCTTGAAACAACTTGATTATCAGAACCTGTGAATTCCGCATAAATCGACGAGTAGATAAGAGAGTTGTGGTACGTGTATACCATGGAATATTACTCAGACACTAAAAAGAATGAAAGCTTCTCATTGCAACAACATGAATAAACAAAGAGGGTATTATGCTAAGAGAGATAAGCCAATAAGCAAAGACCAAGTCTATATGATTTCACTTATAGGTGGACCCTAAAGAACAAAATAAACGAACAAACAGCATGAAACAGACTCATACAGAAAGAACAGACTGAGGTTTGCTAGGTGGGAGAGGGTTTGGGTGGGGGCTGGGTGAAAAAGAAAAAGGGATTAAGAAGTACAAATTGGCAGTTACAAAATACTCCTGGGCTTGTAAAGTACAGCACAGGGAATATAGTCAATACTACTGTACTAGCTATGTATAGTGCCAGGTGGTTCCTGGAAATACTGGGGGGAGTACTTTGTGAAGTGTATCATTGTCTGACCACTATGCTGTACATCTGAAACTAATATAAGAAATTATTGAATGTAACCTACAACTGAAAAATAAAATTTAAGAAACTTATGAGTTCCCTTAGAAATGGTCTGTCCTCCCCTTGCCGAGGATGGTCCCTCCAAGACTGCCAGTTCTGCGAATCTCAGGGAGCCCACAGGAAGACCCAGTAGACCGAAAGCACCAGTTGGGTAGGGCTGCTCTACCAAATGCCATATCTGGCTGTTGTGAGCATGGAAGGAACAGCAGAAAGCCAGTATTTGGCTAGCAATGTCATGGAGTCAGTCTCTGGGCAGGGTCATGAACAGGTTTGTATAAATTATAATTGATGCCCGAGGGTATTTTATAGTTTAGAAAACCTTCTGCAGTTCTTTCATGGTTTAAAGGCCATTTAGCACAGAGCAGAAGATAGCTCATATCTACAACTTGAAAAATACATTTGAAAAGCAAAAGAGTAACTAAGGATATCCAAATGGTAATAAGCCTATAAAATGATGCTTGATCTCATTAGTAAATGGAGAAGTATAAATTAAAACAGAATGGCTACAATTAAGAAAGATTGACAAACCAAAGTATTGGTAGGGCATACAATGTGGTTAGGAGGTCAAACCCTTTAAAAGCTGTTTGACATTATAAAGTAGGGTTAAACACATTCAAATCCCATGAACTGGCAAATCTACTCTTAGTTAATACACCCAAGAAAGGTATCACATGTGATAAGCCATGTGGTTGAGAATGTTTATAGCAGTAGTATTTGCAATAGCCCCAAAGAAAACAACCTAGCCTCCCATCAATAATAGAATGGAACTTGCAGTCTTTTTATACAATGGAATACAATGGCAATAACAATAAGAGACCACAGCTATGTGCAACAGCATGGATGAATCTCATAAGTATAATGTTGAAACACATAGTTAGAAAAAAAGTATGTTTACTTTTATAGAAAAGATTTAAAATAGGCAAATTAACCTATGGTCATAGAAGTCAGGAGAGTGGTTACCTTTGGGGAGAAGAGAGAGCTAATTACTTGGAGGGGGCATGAGCGGGGTCTAGTGATGTTCTATTTCTTGACTTGGAAGTGGTTCCTCGGTATGTTTGCTTCATAGCAATTCAGTGAGAGTACATTTATGATTTGTGGACACCTCTGTAGATATGTTATGCTTGACTAAAAAAAGATAAGAGAAAAAGTATCGGCACTTGGCATTGATGGGTATGTTTGAACTATTGCCAAGCTCTCTCTGCTGATGAGATTTTTGCACCCCCTCTCTGTAGAGGCACATGTTCCCAGTCAATAATATAATTGCATGCTTTTTGATGTTTGTTTTTCATTTTCTAAGCAATGTGTGAGCATTTTAAGTTCTACTTCTTTGGTGCAGGAATTGATAAGGAATACTTATTTATTGCATTTTTATTATAAAACATGAGAGTTTGATATAATTTTTTTATTTCCAGGTAACCCAAGATGTTTTGAAGGCTGCAAAACGATGACAGACACTTAATGCATTCTCTCTCAGAAGAACGAGGAGTGAGGACATTTGTTCGATATGGCAGACACTGAGGGTTACACATGGCAGCCTGTCTTGTCACTGACCTGCTCTCAGCCTCGAATCATTTTCTATCACATTGAGATCAAAACCCAAAGCTCCTTTCATACCTACACGAATTCATGTCTTGTTCCTCCTGCTATCCACATGTTTCCCCTTTGAGCACTGTTCCCTCAGTCTGGAATGCTTTTCCACCAGACATTCATGTAGCTGGCTCCATGATTTGTTGAATGAATGAATTGATTCATGTGGAGTGCTATGTACATTTCAAGAAAAAAACCCCCATAAATATTCATAGTATTCAAAATTTCAGAGCATACACAGTTGTGCACCCCTCCTCGGTCTTCTGAGCTCAAGGCTCAGACGCTTTACGCCTTTTTTTGTATGATGTTTTCATTACATGGGTTTTACATATTTGCAGTAGAAAACTGAAAAAGTGAAGATGAGCTTTAACAGAAAAATGCCTCATGGGACACAATCAGGAGAAGAGGAAGCCCTCTCCTTGGGTCTTCTCAGGCTCTGACCAGGACTGAGGCGCACAGGTTATATCTCAGCCTTGAAAGACCCGGTGAGATAGCACCTGGTCCCTGAGAGGCCCAGGGGGAGGCAAGGGGAGGGGGTAAAGATCGAGACCTACATGTAAGAACTAGGACACTGAGTAATAGCTGTATCTAACCCTGTAACTGCCGACTGTATGCTAGCCTAGGTTTAAGCTTCTTGTACATGTTAACACATTTACTTACTACAACAACCTAAGAAGGCACAGATGAGAAAAGTGTGTCAAGGACAGCTGCAGATCACACAGCCGGCTGGGATCTTAACCCGGGCAGCCTGGCCCCAGAGTTCACACACAGTCACAGAGTTATCAACTCTCAGAAGGAGCCCCTCCCAGGATTCAAGCCTGAAGGTGGAACTGGGGAGGCCCAAATGAGTAGAATTGAAGTTAGGAGCCAAGGACTAGAAGAGGTCCAGAATGGAGCAGCAGTGCCCCCTGCAGTTAGGTTGACCTGTATTCCAATCAGCATTCACAGAGTTTTCTGGAGACCCACTCAAGTATAGGCTTTGAATTCATCTTACTTTGGACTCCAGTCCCTCTACCCAGAAGCCCTAGCCAGGCTAGTTCTAATCCTAGTCCTTCCAAGTTTACAGAACCCAGAACACCAGTGCTGAGCATGTACTATCACAGTCAGAGCCCAGTGACTCTTAGGTGAATGGCCCTCAGCATTTAAATAGGAAATTCTTGAAAATCAGAGCCTTTAAAGGGGCAAACATTCTAATGATGGCATTTCAGAATGAAGGGTGGGCAACATGGGAGATATTTGGGAACACAGGAAAGCCTACACAGCCCCCTTAGAGTCATATCTTGTGGACAACAGCTGGTACTCATTGTGAAGGTCTGCCTGGCTCTGAGGATTTGCTTCATTTGGTGTTTCCAGCTGGAGCAGGCAGCTTCACAATCACCTAAAGGAAAGCAGCCATCGTGTCCCATCCTCCTTGCTCCTCTTTGTATGCCCCCTCCCTTTTTTCCCCGTCCCCCTCCTCTGTTCCTTCCCTCCCTAAATATTCGTGGCACATCTCTAGGTTTCTATTCTCCATCAGGGATTCTGGGGTTGGGGAAGTACAACGGTAAGTAACCTGTCCCACCCGGGCATCGCTGTGCCCTGAGCAGAGGTGACAGATGGGAAATAGCTGGATCTGCACAGCTAACTCAAATAGAAAAGAAGGGCTCCTGCATAAAGAACTGCACTGGATTTGAAAAATAATGTATTCATTTGAGTGTGAAATTGTGTTTCCTCAAACGTGTTGTATGAGATTATGTACGTGCACACATTGTATTATTGTCAAACAATTTTATTATTAACTTATTAAGAAGGGACGGGGCATTTTACTCTTACTGTCTCCAATAAGGTTCTTGTTTCCAAGGTTTAGGAGTCCTTTGTCTTAGGGAGAGAATTAAGTGAGTTTTTGTTTTTTTTTTAAAGACTAGCTCCATGTCTCTCAAATCTGACCTGCAGATGGATTTTGTTTGGTCCACGCTGTTTTATTTTTTACTTTTAGCATTTTACTTATTTATTTATTATTAAATTATAAATAAATGCAGTTGAGAAATATTATGTTAGTTTCAAGTGTATAACATAGTGATTAGACATTTATATACCTGATGAAGTGATCACCCCAGTAAGTCTCGAACCCCATTGGCACCATACATAGCTATCACAATATTATTGACTCTATTCCCTATGCTGTACTTTACATCCCCATGACTGTTTTTATAAATGGCAATTTGTACTTCTCAGTCTCATTCACCTTTTCACCCATAACTCTGTTTTAAATGGAACCCACGGGCAAGATTAAAATCTTGGGATTTTATCATGAAAATCTAGGTTTCAGGTTTCTTTGGGAAAGTCTGGCAACAAGGGGACTGGCATTTCCAAGGGAAACAATTGGCTAAGGCTGAATAGAGACCTCATATCGCTGATGTGTCCCAGCCCATCAGGCCTCACGCTCCTGACACTGATCTCCAAGGGCCAGCTGCTGGTTGTCACCTTCTTCCTGGTCTGCTTTGAACACTTACATTACGTGCACCTCTCATTCAAAAGGAGGGCTCTGGCCTGGAAGGAAAAGTTGGTTGCTAAGGATCAGGAAGATAGGTGTTGGTGGGGCTCTGTGAGTAGGGGGGTGCGGGGGGCGGCCCTTGCACTGATGAGGAGAAGGTGGGTCTTCAGTAGCACGTGGCCACGTGGAGCCCTGAGAACCCTGACCGGGCTGGGCTGCCTAGGACAGCGGAGCTGCCTCTTCAGAATGGAGCAGGTGCTTGTACGACCGGACTGCAGAGCAGAGACTCTGCCTCTGTTTTTCTCAGCTGCTAAACCCCGATTTTTGGGGAAAGACCACAAAGGAGAGGATGGGTAGGGTCCTGGATAAAAGACTTAGTGGTTAGTTTAGCTGTAGGTAGTTTCAATTAGAAAAAGGGGAAAATGTTATGTATTTTTTTGTACCTGAATGTTGTTCTCTGTGGTTTAATTCATATGGAATACTCATAAGCTCTTTGTGTGATGTGAATCTGTCTTATAAAACATCCATAATACCTTTCCCAGGGACCCGTCACTAAATCTCTTCATTCAATACTTTATTCATTCAGCAGATATTGGAGCACCCACTGTGGTTGTGGTGGAGGGGTGTATAATAATGAATGGTATATGGTTTCGAGCTCTTCCAATTCTTGGTAGTGATGTGGATGAGCAATAGGGAATTAGAGCGAGAAAGACATTGCTTGGGAGCAAGAAGTTTGGGCTCTTAATTCTCTTTCTGTCCTTCAGCTGCTGGGGAAGCTCGCACCAACTACTTAACCTTTCTGGTCTTCACTGTCATTCAAATGGGGCTAAATTATCTTTAATTTTTTTTTTTTATTAACTTCTAAAATACTTCGCTGAAGAGGAGAGACATACACATCTGGATGTTAATTCAGATTTTCTTATATATGAGGGCATAGCTAGTTTCTTTTTCAGGCTTTGGTTTTCTTCACGCATCTGATTTCCAGATATGAGAGTGGAAATACATTTTATTTTGCTCTAATGTGTTTACTCATCTACGATCACATACATACGGTATTAAATGAAAACTGTTTTGCAGCCACCCTTGTAGGAAGAGAAGGAGGCCAGTGGTGACTCTGTCGAAAGCAGATGGTTTCACTGTCTCTGAGTTTAAGATTCACTGTTGAAACCCAAAGGTGAATGAGGGCCTTGGAGAAGAAGAGACTTGCAAGTGTGTTATGCATTCAGGGTAATGGGTTTATTAGATGCATAAACAAGTAAGCATTTATTGGCGTGTTGTCAAAAATAATGGACAAGGTGACAAAAAACTATTTTAGCACAGAAACAAGACAGCTGCCACAGACCAATACTGAGCTTACAGACTCTCAAAAGATCACAGAACCTGAAAAGAGAGCTTTCAGGTCGTGTAGGTATTCAGACAATCAAGTCAGCTATATAATGCAGGCAACACATGGCAACAGAACACGATTAGCGAGGCAGTCTCTCACTGGGGGATGGAGGAAGGCTTGCTGGGGCCCCGGGGTCGCTGATGGGAAAGGGCATTAAAACCTCATAAATCCTCCATATCGTTTCTCCATTTCAGGAACTTCGTTGGAGTAACTTTCACCTTCTTCGTTGGAGGGCAGAGAATCGGCGAAGCGCTTCAGGAAGCCCCCGTACCTCTTCTGGTAGTCCATCCACCACTCCGGGCGGCCCACTCTTCTCATGAAGCCCCCGTAGCGCTTCTGCAGCTCCCTGGCTTCGTCTTCCAGCTGGGGGCTCCTCTTCAGGCCTCTCATGAAGCCCCCATATCTCTTGCTCACTTCTTCATCCCCGGCCTCTTGGTGGGGGCTGCCCTCTCGGTTGTCCCCTGTGCCCAGCAGCTCTTTCAGGGGGTCTAAGGAATTGCCCAGAGTGCCACCCTCGCCTGCATCCTTCTTCATGAAGCCTCCATACCTTTTGGCAAGGGTCTCACCTCCCTCGGCCTCCTCTTCTGGCTCCAGAGGAGAAAGCTCATCGGTTTTCTTCATGAAGCCTCCATACCTTTTCATGAAGCCCCCGTACTTCTTGGCCAGCACATGGCTCTCCTCGGGCCGGCTGCTTTCTCTGAGGGCGCTGGTGCCCTCTGGAGGGAGCTCCAGCGTGGACAGCTGCAGCAGCTCCTTGCAGGCGTCCCAGGTTTTGAGAGAAGGCAGCTTCCCTTCACACTCCAGGGTGCAAGCCTGGGGAGGAGAATTCGATTTGAGAATAAAAAGAGGCTTTTCTGATTTTGTGAAGTGAACAGATTGGTGTGGACCACAACGTATTTACTTCAAGATGAGCACTCCCATAATAATCTCCATTTTCTTATTAAAACTTTTCATCACACTCAATAGGCAAATCAAAGGGAAATGGATTTAGAAAAATTGTGGAGAATGAATTGAAACAAATGAGAAATTTTCTTTGAATTTTATCAGGATATATATATCGGGCCACTTCAATACCGTAAAAGGTTTTTTTCACCCAATTTTAACCTAGATTGACTGCCTGCACAATCTAATTTCACGGGATAAATTTTCACTGTTGATTTCATTTCATTTGAGCTTTTTCTAATCAAAAGGGAGAAATTTCTGTTTACCTAATTAGGGACATTATCCGAAAATTCCTTTTATCTTCTTGTCGTACACAAAATAAATACCAATGACATGAGGTTTCTTTATTTTCTTTTGTTAATATTTTACCTGCAATGGTATCCAATATTCCTGCAAACATTTTCTATCTTAGAAATATAACCAATTTAAAATAGGTTTAAAAAAAGACTTTCTAAAAATTCAATTTAAATCCTATGAATTATTTGGATTATGACATACTGATTTGGTGAAAGTAGAGGTTTTGCTTTTCTTCCCCCTGAATTGATTAAAACTGAGTTAATCATCTTGAACCAAATATTTGTAGGTATGAGATCACATATGAAATTATAAACATGCTAATGTTTATTCATATTATTTTTCTTAACATTTAGTTGCTGATGTATAGGAAAAGGTGTATTACTGCAACAAAATTCTTTAGGATACATATTTAATCAACTTTTAATGACTGTTTTGTGTCTAAGAAAATTAAAAATATATACATATAAAAACCTAAAGATGATCTGATTAAAGTGATCCTGTTTATTTTTATATCTGATTAAGAAATAAAAATGTTATTAAGAACTTAAGATGTTCAGGTGTCAATATTTTTATTCTAAAATATAATTTAAATGATTTCTTTACCAAAACTTAATGTTGAATATTTTGTACACTATTACCAAAATGCTTCTTAATGTTAGGATTTCTTAAAACACAAGTAATGATAATCACAATAACAGATTCATATTTTTAAAAGTAATGTGAATTTATATGCTCCTATATATGTCTATGCGCTTTTTGCTATATTTGTCACACTCTGTGTTCTATGGTCAAGGTCATATTAGAGGATAAATTCAATTTGGACATTCAATCATAATATGCCCATGAATATTTGCATCTGCCACAGAACCAAGCACGAGTGTCTTTCACGCGGTAGAAGGGCAATAAATATCTGTTATATTGGTTTTACTCCATGGTGTTGGTTAGGAAATCGCATTTCTCATATGTGTTTTTGCATCCAAGGCAAAACTCCATTACCACTGCGATTCTAACAATATAGTAATTGACAAAGCCTTTGTCAGAGATAAAATAACAATCTAAAATGTAAGTTCCCATACAAAACAAATCAGTTAAACCAAAAACAATTAGAAGAAAAAAGATGGATGAAGGTATTTTTATCCCCAATTAAGAGGCAATGTTTTTCTTGTAGTTTAATTATAAAGCCCCACTATATGTCTTCTCTTTAAGGCCATGTTAGCACATGCACATATCAAAGGAAGTGAATCAGGTAATTCAAATGAAACAAACCTTTAACCTGAATTAGAAACCTTGGATTTTGTGGAATACTTCCCTGAGATTGTTGTCCCTATTTTATGCATCTACATAGCAAAATGTCTTCAAAGGCTCCAGTGGGGAGCTTGACTCCTCGGATGAATACCTGATTCTTTACTGAGCTGTTGAAGTCATCACAGAATTTCAACAAATCGAGGAGTGCAAATGGATCCCAGGGGAGCTGGTTAAAATGAAGCTGCCCGGGTCCCACATCCGGAGATTTGGATCTGTAGAGCATGGTGGTGATTCAAGAGCACCTGGACTATGATTAGAATAAGAGCTCATTTGTCCTCAGCTCCACCCCCACCCCAAGGCCCAGTGGAGTCCTTTTCTTTTCTTTGTTGCCACCTCTCTGGACACTGGCCATCTCTCCTGTGCCTTTTCCATAGGCACATCAAACTGTTGTCTTAGTAGGTTTTACAAAAGAACATTCAAGACATGACACAGTTGAATTCCACCGTCACTTGTACTTGAGACTTTTGCCAATTTCTTTCTCTCCTCTGCTCTCCTCTCCCTCCCCCTTAGATCTTTGAAGGTAAAGGGCTTGAGGGACCCCTGGTTTACTGGGCTAGAGAAATGAAATACATAAAAAGGCGACAAAAATGTCACTAATAAAAAAATGACATTACCTGCAGGCAGGATGAGAGGATGGTGGTGTGTGGAAGGGTCCCTTAGTGGGATGGTAGGAGTTGGGGTGACTGAGCATCTTCCTTGGGACAGGTGAGGTGACAACGCAGTGCTCTCCAAGGTGCTGAAGAGAGCACATCGGGGCTCCCATATCCCCCAGGTGAAAACAAACTTGGTTTGTGTGGGGACATGGCCACCCTTACCGGTCCCTAGGTAGTCGTGGGTCCCCGAAGCTGAGAGCTAGAGCGGGACCTGGGTCAGCGTACAGGGGAACAGTCGAGACACCGAAGTCACCAGAGACCGCGACCGATTGCCATCAGAGGACGCACCGTGCGGTGGCCGCTACCGCGCTAACACTCACCAGCGGGTCGATGTCGGTGGAGCGCGCCAGGAGGTAGCTGCACGTGGCGCAATCCTGGCTGCATTCCGCCCGCACGGTCGCCAGGAGCGCGGGGCTGAGCGCAAGCAGCCAGGTGCAGAGGGTCAGGAACCGCGCCATGGGCTGCGGGGAGAGAGGGACGCGAACTCCGAGCCTGCCCGAAAGCAAGCGGTCCCCTCGGAGAGACCCTCGCCGGGACAGTCCCAGCCGGGAGTTTGTGGGACTAGCGAGTAAGAGATCCTAGGGGCACTCTCGCCTGGGACCCCGCCTGCCCGGCCGATGCGGGTTTGAGAGGCCCCGGGACATCTCAGATGACCTCCCGGTGCCCAGGTTGGCACGGTCACCCCAGCCCGGGGCTGCTCTGAGCACTTGGCTCTCTTACTGGGCGCATGCTGCTCCGGGCAAAATTCTGCAGGGGAAAAGCCAAGACCAAATGCTCGAAAGCGGGAGCCTGGGGAGGCCTGACATTGACCCGGGTCACAAACAGGAAGACGGTTGGGAACCCCATGCAATGAGACGCGGAATGAAACCCAGCAGGCAGACGGCCCCAAGGGCGCGCGGTCAAGGAGCGCTCTGGCCAAGTTCACTCACGTTGACGCTGTTCAGATGGCGCAGCTTGGTCGGAGAAGCGGAGTCCCAGCCACGACACTAGAAGGGAGAGGAGAAGGCAGGTGTCAGGGGCAGGGGGCGCGGGGGAGACGCGGCCCGGGGCGCGGGCAGGCGCCGGTCTCACCGTCGCGGTGGTCAGTGTCGCCTCGGGGCCGCGGGCTGGACTGCAGGTGTCGGAGCGCCTGCCTCGCCTCCCCTCGCCGTCCCCGGGCTGGCGGCGGCTGCAGCCACTTTATAATTAGCCCCAAACCGAAGGAGGGGAGCGCGCCCCAATCGCCGGCGGGCTGCAGCTGACGCAGGCCCTACGCCACCCCCGCCGACGCCGTCGCGGGAGGGGTCCGTCCGGGCGCGTGCTCCCGGCTCCCCCGGGGGAGGGGGCGGTGTGAGAGGGCGCTTGCTGCTCCCCTCACGGCCCGGTGACAAACGAAGGTAATTAGGAAATTGGGGAAGACAGGGGGAGGAGATCAAGTCCCCGCAAGGAAGGGCACTGGAATTGCACTCCCGGGGGTGCGGGCTCCAGAGAGAGCACCAAGGTGGGGCGTTAGGAATGGCAGAGGGACCGGCTTTGGTTTCTAGAATGTCCTGGAGACCCTCCGAGCTAGTGAACCTGCCCCCCTCCTTTGCCTCCTCCTGGGGCGCCCTCGCCGCCGCCGCGGGCACTAAGTACAACCGTCCTCCTTTATGCACCCGTGTGTCCCTGCATTAAGCTCCGAGGTCCTTGTGGTACCGTCTAACAGCGTCAGACGCACACAGTAGGTGCGCAGTTAATGGCTAAAGGAAGGGATGATGGAAAATTTCCGGGAATCTGAAAATCTCAAGACTGAGCTTTCCCCCCTTTCGCGTTAGTGAGACCGCCTGCCAAGCGTGGACGCAGTAAAGCCTAACCTTCTGGAACGGAGGACGTCAGGGAACAGGGAAACGGCATGCGCTCCTGCCACTGGGGGTGGCGGGGGGGGGGGCGCCTTTACTCAGCGTCCCAGGCAGTCTTCCAAGTTGGGGACTGCTCACTGCCTCAAGTGCGGGGCCCGAGGTGTCCCTGTGAGAGTTTGACCAGTAAGAGGGGGTGCCGGGGCGGGTGTGATATCATCGCGCCAGGATTGGAGTGTTCTGGGAGGGATGAGGGACGCGGTACCCCGGGCATCCAGGGCCTGGGGCGCGCACATCCTCTTGGCCGGGAGCGGGTTGAGAGCCAACGGTGGAGGCGGGTTGTCCACTGAGACCCGCTCCGCCACTTCCGACCTAGCTCGACGGAATATTGCCAAGAGGCAAATTATTTATCTTGTCTAAGATCTCAGTTTTCCCTTTTGGAAATGGGAACAAAGGTAATGTGCCGGAGATACGTAAATGAAATAATTACGTAAATTACACATTTAGCTGTGTTCCTGGCACATAGCAAGCCCTAAAAAGGTGTCACCAATAATGTGTCATCTACCTACCTTCCGGTTTGTCTATCATTTACCATCATGCATCTGTTTATCCATCCATCCATCCATCCATCCATCCACCCATCCATCCATCTTTGTATCTATCTATCCTTCCTGGCCCTGGAGAGAAACCACAGACAGTACCAGAGCCCAGACATAGAGAAAGGGTCTCAGGGTTTCCCAGCCAGAAGCGCCGTCTGCAAAGGACTGACCAGGACTTCAACCTCCCCGGGGACCAGCTCGGGTCGCTCTGTATTTCTCATTTCGGTCGCTAGAGGGCAGCGCTCTCCTGCGGAGGTTCGGGTGCGCCTGGGAAGGGGGGTCTCGGCATCAGCATGCGGGCTCCGGACAGGAACCCGGGGTGGCCACGGAGCCCCAAAGGTGCACTGCCTGCCTTCAGGGCGGGAAAGCCGAGCGCGGAGGTGCCGCGGCAGAACGCCCGGCAGAGCCTAAGACATTTTGCCAGGAAAGCAGTTTCCCCTTGGACATCTTTAAGCTCTTCACATCAGGGGGCTGCTGGTGTCCTCTCCAGCTAGCTACCTCCCCGTCCCCAAAGGAAAGGAGAGCTGACATCTATGAGTGAGATCCCCCCGCCCCCCCCCCCCCCCCCGCCCGCGTTGCTCAGACGTAAAGGCAGCCAACTAACTGCAGTACTCAGTAGTAACGGTGCACGAATAGATCCTGCCTCACGTGAAAGAAAACTTGCCCTCTCTGAGCACGGGCATACCTGGGATCACCTGGGAACAGAACTTGAAACGCATAATCAATAATCAGGGCAAGAGGCTGAGACGTGTGTGTGTGTGTGTGTGTGTGTGTGTGTGTGTGTGTGAGAGAGAGAGAGAGAGAGAGAGAGAGAGAGAGAGAGAGAGAGGAGAGAGAGGAGAGAGAGACCTGCTTCCTTAGGGTACACAGGATTGCTGGACACAAAAGGCTCCCTACAATCTTGGAAAAGTAGAAGCTTAAATGCTGAAAGGGGCCCAGGGATAATTTATTTCCACCCTCATTCTGTAAATGGCAAAAACGAAGCTCAGACGGTCAAGTGACATCCAAGTGACCCGCTCAGACAATGGCAGAACCGGGTCCTGCACCTCCTCTCTGGCACCTGAGGTGGGCCTGGTTTATTTCTGTTGGAACAATTAAATTAATGGTTGCTCTGAATGTGTTTCTATGGGTGAATCTGCATCTATCTCTGAGGCTTTTTAAATGTCAGGGGAGAGAAAGGGAGGGCTGCCTTCGAGGAGTAGTGCCCCAGCGCCCGCTCATCTCATTGGGACATAGTGGGTGCTGACTAGATGTGCTGGCTGCCTGGCCGAAGGAACAGTGGTGGGAGGTCGACCTTGTTGGCATCACCTAATCAGTGAGGGATGTCTTCCCATCACCTGTCTCAGTCTATCCCAGGGGCTAAAAGGCATACATTTTTGGGTTCATTTCTTTATATTTGAACGGTGGCTGTGGGTTGCAAGGAACTTACCTTTTCGTGTTCCTCTAAATATTTATTGAGAACAAATGGATTTTGCAATTATTTCCTGGGAAAAAAGCTGCTTTAGAAACGAGACTCAAAAAAAAAAAAAAAAAAAAGGGAAGGGAACCTTCTCTTAAAGCATTTAATCCAGAGAATTCTGAGTCCCAGGTCAGAATCAAGACCTCATCTTCTGATTCTCAGGGCCCAAACATCGCAGATGAAAGGGATTTATTCCAGACTCCAAGAATCGTGGCTTTTAAAGTCCCAGTGATAAGTGCTGTTTCATTCAGTTCTTAGGTGTTAGTGGCAGGAGGCATTTGAAAAGTCCTTCAGTGTTGTCTTTCTTCACCTCCAGGCTGGAAGATGCCTGAATTGAATAATGCCTTTCAGGGGTCCATTCCTCTCCTCCCCGCTTCCTGCCACCCAAGTACACATACTTTATTATGGAGCCCGATTTCCCTCGGGCCCTCTCTCCCTAACACAGCGGTAGCGAGAACACAGCACTTCTGCACTCTGGGGCGTGTGTAATGTTTCAGCATAAAAGCACCATGTTCTAAAATTTCCAGTGTTTGGAGCCAGGCCAGAGGCAGGGCCAACTTGCCTGTTTTCAGCTACAATCTAAAGTGTGCACGTCCCAGGTAAGATTCTGTGGGCTGGGGATGTTACCATGAAATATCACTTGATTCTTCTTTGAACCGGCTGAGAGCCCCCTAGCAGCGACTGGAAGTTGGTTGGAAGGAGAGGTTTTCATGGTGTGATAAATCCCCATTTTAAGCAGGGATAGTGCTAGTACATTTTCACTCTCAAAATCCAGGCCACAAAATAAACCCTTTGAAAGAAAAAGTAACCTGGTACAAAGTTTTCTAAAAGTGAGTTTGTATAATAAAATGTGTCAATGGAGAGAGAGAGAGAGAGAAAGAGAGAGAGAGAGAGAGAGAGAGAGAGAGAGAGAGAGAGAGAGAGAGAGAGAGAGAACAGGAAAAAATATATAGCAGGGAAGTGAAACTAAACTGTGTATATCAAACGTATTGTTTATATACTATAAACTTAGAAGTAAAATAGGGTTCCTCAATGTGGCCTCCCGCTCTCAGGGGACAATAAATTTTAGTACTAAGCGTAGGTAATTAGACCACGAATAAAGCAAGTTACAATATGACTCATTAGATTTAAAGAGGATAGAACTGAGGATCCAAACAATATACAGATTATTCAGCAGCTTCACTTTTAAAAATGACTTGTGTCATTGCCTTGAAATAATGTAAAGCCTACCAGAGAACCAGTCATGTTAAAGAATTGTATTGCTCTGGCCCATGTGGTTCAGCCGGTTGGAGCATCGTCCCAGGCACCTCAGGGCCTCAGGTTCTATTCCCGGTCAGGGCGTACACCCAGGTTGTGGGTTTGATACCTGGTTGGGGTGTGTATGGGATGCAGCCTCTTGATGTTTCTCTCTCCCTCTTCCTTCCTCTCTCTAGAATCAATGAAAAACATGTCCTTGGGCGAGAATAAAAAAAAAATTACCTCGGGCCTGACCAGGTGGCTCAGTTGGTTGGAGTATTTACCCTGTAAGCCAAGGTTGTGGTTTTGATCCCCAATCAGGGCACACACGAGAATCAACCAATGAATGCATAAATAACTGGAACAACCAATCTCTCTCTTGTCCCCCCCTTTTTCCTCTTTCCTTCGTCTCTCTCTAAAATCAACAAAAGAAAATAAAGTTATATTGCCTCTTCAGACTTGAACAATTTTTTTTATTGTTTCTGATTTTTTTTATTGTTTCCATAATCAAGTTCCAGATCCCACCCACAGGACCTGCAGAGAAGGAAAGATATTGATTGATTGAATGAAAATATTCATCAAGGAATCAATTTCCACAATTGGGACTACACTAGAAGTTCTAAACAGGTTTTGAGCAACAATAAGTCACTGGAGCAAATGTGGTGGCTCCAAGTTCTCAGCTTTTATAGGGGACTCCTCCGTATATGCCTACAGGACAGAGCTTTTCAATAACGGATACTCAGTAAACTTGTTTTTACAAACTCTGCTCCTACATGTAGCTATATCTTCCATAGCTCCCATGCACATGGGATGGACTAAAAAAGTAAGAATGTTGTTAAAAAAATTACATAGGGAATGAGCTAATCCTCCCCAGATAGCATTCATTTTTAACTCTAATTACTCTCTTGATGTCTATACTTTGTTGTGTATAGACATTGGAGCCTGGACAAAAGTATTACTTTCTGTGTATGAATCTTGTGAAAAACTAACAAAGTGCAATATTTTATGGGGGGAAATGATTTTAGTATTAAGAGTTTAGGATAAGAAAATGATACTTTTAATTTCTGTTTCTCTATCAACTGTGTGTGTTCAGTTGGAAAGTCAATCTCTAACTCTCATTTTTCTCACCTGTACAATGGGGAAAATAAAAACAACCATATATAGATAATG